ATTCTCTATTGAATGTCAAAAATGTTTGAAAGTGACTACCTCTGGATAAATCTTGTTCTCACATATAGTTGTTGGCAAATTAGTAGGAACCAAATGGAGACCTTTATGACAGCTCCTTGCTTGTGTCTCAGTGAACTACTTCATTTTGTCATAAAATATAATTAACTATAAAGTATCAGAAACAATTATATTAATTCAGCTGTATACCAGTATGTACTCATGACCATAAAAAAATAAAGTTCTCTCCTTCATAACATCCCTTTGCAACTGTAATAGCAAAAAGTTGATTATTTTCTTCATATGTGTATTTCAGATAAATGATATTTTGCTAGATTATTGCCCTGAGACTAAAGTACTTTTCCCTAATTCATACTGCTAATATATTGAAGGAAAAAAAAAAAAAGGACATTTTGCTTTGAATTGCATATCATTGCTGTGTCTTAGCTCTAAAGCTTTTGTTTAAATGTCAGTGATTTAAACAAATAAGAATTAAGATTGAAAGAAATGGTTTTTTACACAACTTTAAACTAGTAAAGTAACAAGCTTTTCTCATTGATTACTCTGTATGGCTTGCTTCATTTCAAAGTAAATAAGCACATTCTCTGGAAACACCTGAACATCACTTGTAGGAAGATAAGCAATTAAAACCATCTAATTTATCCAACCTCACTATAAATTTATAGTGAAATAAGTTTACAAATAGGTTGTTCATGGTAGGGGCTTTCTAAGAATAAGTGTTGAAAGATGTGAGTCAGAGTTGAAAACCTGGATGTTGAATAACAGTTGAACTGGGGTGAAATCCCAATGGCTTTTTAGTCACAAATTATTAGTAATTATTGTCACTACTTACTCTCAGGATCTGAAAACAATCTGAAACTTCTAATAGAGCACTACCAGTATCTGATTTATTTTTTAAAATTATTGTCAGGGATCTTACATTGTAGGTATTAACTGAAAGGTCATTTCTGTCTGAGAAATGAAAGTGCATCAGCTATTGAACTAATCCAAGAAAAAATAGCAGGTGCTTCTTGCACATTTTGACTGTGATTCTGACCCTATCCAGTTAGCGGCAGATCTCCATGTCACATATCTTCTGACTAGTCCCTCCTCCCTATTTTTTTTTTTTTTTTTTTTTTTTTTTCCCCCCCTAGGCACGCATAAAAAGCAAAAGAATCAAAATCACCACTTTTTGTATTCTACTTACAGGAGTTAGCTTCTGTGTTTGCTTGGTATGCTTCATCTCTCAATGATATAGAGAGCAAGAAATACATACTCTGGCAGGACAATACAAATGTTGGGATTAACAGCAATCCTTTCCTTAGAGTAAAATAGTAGTAATTTTTGAGGGTGGGGAATAGGGTGATTATTAATGATTTTTTTTTTTTTTTTAAAAAAAGAAAAGAGCTATTATTAAACCCAGGAAAAAATCTAAGCCTCCAAATGACCTGTAGAACAGTCATTTATAACATTGAATGTCTTTCGAATGGTATCTTGTACATCAGTTACCAACGCACATTTTTGTCTAACAGGAGATATTAAAGATGCTGCTTGGAATTTTTGAAAACTGATAAAAACATTTCTGAGAAAGAGGTATGACCTGCATCCTTCAAAGCAGTGTTTAACTGCCTACATTACTTGACATCCAAAGAACAAAGGTTTGCAAAGGAGAGACTGATAAGGTACTAATGCCTGCATGTAGGCTACATCTTCTGAGAGTGTGCCAGAATTTGTCTGGGAGAAGACAGAAGACAGACAATATAGATTGCTGTATTTTTCATCAAGTGGTTTGTACCATCTGTATATATTTTACGTGTGCCTTTTGAGAGGCAAGGAGTGTAACTTAGATCCCCCTAGGCTTTGTTCTCTGTCTCTACACCTACCATTTGGCATAAGATGTAGCCAGTAGAAGAAAACTAAGGTTGTTGGGACTTTTTTCTTGTCTTAGCTTCAGCAGCTGCAAAACAGATGTAGGCTGACATGAGTTCTGCCAAAAATCTCTTCCAAGTTTCCCACCCATTTTCCACCAAAGAGAAGCTAGTCTGGTGAAATGAGCGGGGACCTGAAGGTCAGAAAGAGATGGGAGCTCCTGGCTACGTAGAGACTGTTAAAAAGAAGCAATATCAGAAAACCTAGATTTACCACTTTGGAAATTAAAGCAACCAAAACTTATGGAGATAACATTTTAAAAAAATACTATTCCAAGTAGCATGATGTCAATGGGAAATAAAAGGCAATCTATACATGAACCACAACAACACTGCAGCAGAGAAAGTCAGATGACAGCAAGAGTTCGTATCTGGTGTTCACCTAACTGGCATCCATCTAAGTCTCTTTTTAGATATATTTTCAACATTTCAAATACATTAAGCAAAATACCATTGTCTTGCTAGGCAGATCTTTGCTGAAACAGCAGATCTTTGCTTTGTTGTGTGAATTCCAGTACTGAGAGGGAGTCAACTTTCTGTGTACCTCTCCAACTTTTGCTTTGAGCAATATTTGAATATAAAAATCATGTGGATTTTTTTTCAGACTATCTTGACTATCACAAATGCATTCAGTGACATTCACAGAAAATAAATAAAAACTGGAATCTTTCCCACTCTGCCAGCGTGCTGATGAAATCATGCTGCTGCCAAAACTGTGGCTACCAGGCACTTAGCATCCAAGCACTCAAAGGTAGTATCCAGCAGTGGCAGAAATGTTTAAATAACCCGTTGTCCAAGCATGTTTATACTCACAGAGGATCTGTGTAGGCTAACATTGCTAGCAGTGCTGAATCCTCTATGCTGGCAAAAATGAAGGACAAATGCTATCCATGCAGTTACATTTCCCTTTCCTTACATCAGTATCCCAGAAACCTGGAATTTAGATGCTAACTGTTTGTAAATTGGGAACTCAGAACCATGAGTATTAACCCGAATGATGAATTGGGTCTTTATGGCTTTATATATAGCTGTATATATACATATATAGCTGTACAGTAATTCTGTTTACATCATGGAACAATCTGCTTGCAGAAAAATTGCTTGTGTTATAAGTCTCAGTCACTTATAGAGATTAATATCCTCCTGAGAGATGTTTGGATGAGTACTCCTAAAGTTTTTTCCCTTTGACCATTCACGATATCAGTAGTTACCAAGGTTTTAAAAAACCCTTGACCCCACTTTCTGTTGCATTTCCAGGCTTATATCTTCATTTCTAGTATTTATTTTTCAGTATGGTATCAGTGTCATCTGTAGGTGCATTACTTTTATTAAAGGTCACAACCTTTAGTTTGGAAACCAGTGAGACATGGATCTTTCTTACAGCAAGTACTGACACAGGAAGACTTCTTGGCTCATGGCCTCACTCAGGCACAGGTCTACCAAGACAGTTAAGAGAACTTTAGCAAAGACATGCATGAAATACATTTCTGTGTCATACTGCAGATGAGTGTGCACAACCACCTGCTTTCAAACATATATGAAACATGTCTAGTGGTATAAGAATGGTAAGTCCAAATAATAAGAAAAATTATTTAAGATCTCCTTAGTGATTCATTGGAATGCTGGTGTAGGGATTTAAGTATTTAAGTTCAGCTCATCTACATAGTATTTGGCAGACAAGGAAATTTCAAGGAAGAAAAGCAACGTGCATGTTCCTGCAACAAAAAAATGTGGAGAGAAGTTATAGTGACTCTAGTTTGCCAACTAGTGTGAAGGAAGAAATGTGAACTTCTAGGTTTAAAGTGGCTTTGATCTGTCAAGTTTTCTATGTTGAGTTTGAATAATAGACCTTGGCCCCACACTATAGACAATGGGTCTGCCATCTAATGGAGTCCTATCCTAGAAAATCCCTACTCTAGCTGTGGCTCCAGCTGAGGCTGAACAACTCCCAGATCCATTCAACAACTTCGGTGGATACCCTCAGTCATACAACCAGCAGTACACTGCACGTTTGAAGCAAAGTTCTGTTTGTCATGTCAGCGGAGTTAAGAGGTTTGGTGATTTGAAGCCATTAGCTTTGAAACATTGTAATGACTATAGCACTGAGTCAAGCATCAACAGTTCTTATTAAAAAAAAAAAAAAAAAAAAAGTTCA